CAAAGTTTTTCTGGGTCAATCCAAAATTTTTTGAGGTAACACAAACTCTAATTCTGATTAGTTAATTTACATAAATCTATATGTTAGTTTAATTAATAAATATTAATAAATTTTTATATCTAATCTTTAAAAATTTATATCTTAATGAGTTTCTAACTAATTTTAATAATTTACTATCATTAGAATTAGAAAAACCTACTCTACAAACTTCTCTTATATGTTAAAATTAGTTTACTTAATAAAATTTTTTATAAAATCAAATATAAAAAAAATTTATCATTAAGTTTATATATAATTTTAAAAAAGTATCCCCTACCCTTAACAAAATCAAAACTAAACTCAAGAAAAACAACTAAAATTTAAATTAAACTCCTTAAACTCAAATACTATAAAAGAACCCAAACTAGAACTAATTTTTAACTAACTTACTAACTATTCTATAATAAAAGAAATGAAATTAAATACAAAACTTCAAACCAAATTATTATTTGAACTCTTTAACTTTATTAAATCAAATTTAACTAACTTCTCTTCTGAAAAAATATCATTTAAATATCTTATTTGCTCTATAGCAAGTTAATAACTAAAATTTTTAATAGATCTAATCTATAAAGCAAATCTACAAACTAACTCAATTGCTACTATTTACTTTGACCTCTTAGAATCTACTCTCAAAAATCTTATACTCAAATTCACAACTACTTATTTCACTGGTTCCCACGCGGATCACGAATTAAATTTTAATTAACATGTATATTACACCAATATAATACTTAATGCTAGCCAAAATTAATTTAATCTTATTATTAGTAATTTTCGGGTCAAGTTCGGGTTGGGTTGACTCTTAACCCGAACCCGACCCGAAAATTTTCGGGTTGACCCAACCTGATCGGAATACTAAGCATGGTTATATATTGATAAATTCAAACTAAAGTTCCAGTGTTGTGATTTGAAAGTGATCAAAATTTTGCTAAATTATTGTATGATTTAAGTGGTTATTACGATTAAAATGGTAACAATAACGTTGTGTTAGCACGTCCATATTTTATTTGTCACTCTTAGTTAGTTTATTCGAATTCTAGCTAATTAAATTTTACTTCAGAACGTAAGCCGATGCTGATTATGTTTCTGATATCGAGGATTTAGTCACTCTTTTGCAAAGTTTTGAATATTTAGATTTCAATACTTTTTAGAAGAAAAAAAATGAAAGAAAAAAACAATAAAGATTTGGAATCAGAACCTGAAGATGATAAGTTTAATTATAATATGAAGAAATTATTAACGCATCTATAGTAAGTATAAATTCTTAGTTTTTAGCTTTAACCATTATATAGTACTATATATTATTTCTATAGTTATTATATTTTGTCTACGGGATTTATATCATCTACTATTATATAAGTAAAACGTACATAAATATTATCTGTAGATAAATTTTATAATACTTAATATAATTAGTAGGATTATTTATCTAAAGATTACTTTTTATATTTCGCTATCCTAAAATATTTTCGACATCTTAAAATATTTATGACATCCAACATCTATTTAATGCACAATAATTTTAGCCATGAGAAAAATAATTTAGACACCCATCTATACTCGATCCTGTCTTATAACTTTCCGGAAACTACTTCGTTGTTCTTAGAACTTCAATCTAGAGACAGCAACGTAGTTTCCTAAAAGTTAGGTAATTCAAATCGAGGAGGTTTTGGGAAAGAGCAATTCTTTCAGGTGTCATTATGAAAGCAGAATTGGAGGTTAAAAAAATTTTATTTCGAAATAACATTTTCCTAGATCAGCTCTGATAATCGATGAATATATCCGGTTATTCAAGAGATTTTTGACAAACATCCGGATTTTCAGTTTTTGAGATCAGATTTTATAGTTATGATAATTACATTTTGTAGCGATGTGTAACCCAACAGTTATTAACATCATGTAATTATTGCGCTAACTGCTATAATTATATTAATAGTAATCTCTAGTTGATAAATAATAGCTTATCGCACGTATCCGAGTAAGATCTTTAATTTATTAATAAGTACAAAAAGATTCTGACTTTACAATAAATTTTAGATTTGATTTAGTGATTCTGTTAATTAATCATATTTAAAATGTCAATTGGACTATCAATCTTAAATAAGGAAAATATTAAAAATCACATAAATTAATTTTAGTAAACCCACGTTTAATATTCTTGTCTAATAATTACACTATATTGCGATCAGCTTAAATCAATAAATGTACTCAATCTTTTGGAAAGTAAACCTAGTTTATATTGAGCAATACAATCATCGCCTTTCGCAGATTTTAAAATCACGTTTTAATATATTTTTTACTAAAGCACGCGAAGGAAATTGAATTATATTATTACCTTGTTTAGTAGATTTAAAATACCATTCATAAGCCTTCATCTTGTCAACTACAGTACCTAGACCATACTCATAGCAAAATCCAACAGTATAAAACGCGACAGGATTATTTAATTCAGCTGATTTAATGTACCATTCAAAAGCCTTTGTCCTATTTTTAATTGTACCGGTACCATTCGAATAGCAACTAGCTAATTCGTACATAGCATTAGTATTTCCATTTTTAGCGGATTTTAAATATAACTCAAAAGCTCTATTATTATCCACATTCGTGCAAATACCATTTATATAGCAATTGGCTAATTCGAATTGAGCCTCAGAGTTTCCACTTGTAGCAGCATTTGAATATAAATCAAACGCTTTTGCCCTATCAATGTTTGTGCCAATACCATTCATATAACATTTTGCAACTTCAATTTGAGCGTCGGAATTTCCGCTTGCAACCAAATCTGAAAACAAATCAAAAGCCTTTGACTTATCTACGATTGTACCAATACCATTTACATAACATTTAGCAACCTCAATTTGGGCTTTAGAATTTCCGCTTGTAGCAGATTTTGAATATAAATTAAAAGCTTTTTCCTTATCTATTATTGTACCAATACCATTTATATAACATTTTGCAACCTCAACTTGGGCTTCGGAATTCCCTCCTTCGGCAGATTTTAAGTACCATTCAAAAGATTTTATAGAATTCTTTTCGGCAGCATAATCATCAGCCAAATAACAAGACCCAACATAATATTGTCCAATATTGGATCCAATCTCAGCACTTTCTAAAAATAATTTGAATGCAAGACGTTTATCCACATCAACACCTTTTCCAATAGAATACAATAATCCTAAAGATATTTTTCCAATAACATAATTATTGATATTAAATCTATCCAATAATGATAAATTATCTAAATAATTAATAATCTTTTTAGCTTCACTATTTTCTGAAGATAATTTATACATCCAAAAAGCTTTATGATAATCAACTTCAGTTCCAATCCCATGCTCATGAAAATAACCAATCATGCTAAAGTTATAATCTTGATAAGCAAGTGAATTAAATATTAAAGAAGGATTTATTTGATTAACTTCAAAATAATTATTTAAATTATTAATTATTTGAACAGAATTAGTTGTTGTATTAAATTGTGTTATAAAAAATTGAAGTAACTCTTGTAGTAATAAATGTTGATCCTCAATTTTATAACGTTGATCAACTTGATTCTGTGGAATTTCATCTTCTTCCATAGTAATATCTTTTTCAAATTCTTCAAGACAAATAAGCTCATTTAAACGTAAAACAACTTGTTGGATATCTGGTCGCTTAGTGGCATCGTGATTCCAACAATCTAATAAATCAAAATTAAAATTATAAAGTATAAATGAAAAAGTATGAATTCGATTGCCATAAGCAAACTACCTTCATAAACTATGGAATATTTTCGAGGAGTTCCAATAATTTCGGTTTCTCTTTTTCCGTATATAATTGCTACTAAACAATCGTAACCAAATGGCGAATCGGATTCAAATGGAATAGTACCACTAGAAATCTCCCAAAGAAGTACTCCAATACTATATACATCAGAACATCGATTTAGTTTATATGTTTGCAAATTCTGTAAATATTGAGGATCAAGGTACTGAACAAAAGCAAGCAAATATTGATAGTTGTTTTGTTTAATAAAACTCTGTGATGAAAAACCACTTATTTTAATGTTTCTTTTGTGAATAAAGATATTTTCAGAATTCTATAAATTAACATTTGTAAAGCATAAATAATAAACACAGTAAATAGATAGTTAATTTTATGGATAATATTACTTACCAAATTTCCGTGAATTATATTATTAGTATGTAAATGATTAATTCCATCTGCAATCTGCTTGGCAAGGCATAACTTATCGTTCCATCTCATCATATTAAAATTTTGTTCTAAATATTGTCGAAGAGTTCCGCCGTCAATATACTCGAGAACGACCATGAATGTATTTGGATCTTTAAGTACATTAGAAATTTATTTAAATTATTATTATGCTGATGCAGATATCCAATCGTTTGCTTTTTTTTTTTTTTTTTTTTTTTTATGATGTTGGGAACCTTAATTCAACAATTATTTCAATTTTAGAATAAATCTGCTCAAAATAGAAATAAAGTTTTAAATTCCACTTAAAATTTTATTATTTATAATCAGTTACAGTGAAATTTAAAACTTAAGAGTTGATTGATCATTTTTAAATTTGAAATAATTGTCAAGGCACCTATATTATAGACCTACGAACCTGGCATAGTTAATCCAAAAATTCTCAATATATTATTATGATAATTGGTATTTTGATGTCGATTAAGCTGTAATTTAAATTGCAACAACAGCTTTAATGAAAATATTTAACTCGATTTAAAAAAAAAATTTCATAACTATTGAGATATTTAAATTTTACTTCTCTAATGAATTCATTTAAAGAAGATTGCTGAGGTATAGTAATAGATTTTAAAATTGTAGGTATATCATATTCTTTAAATGTTGCCCTATAAAATGATTCTGTCTCTCCAATACTTGCGGATTCAACATTTATAAAATTGGTATCGTAATCATAAATGAAATTCGCATCTTGGGAATTCGATGTATTTTCGTATTTAGGTAGCATGCCACAAATGATTTTCAGATGCAGACTTTACGGTAATTGTATTTAAAAGGATTTTCACGTTTCACAAGTTTTACATAAAATGTTCTCGCACGTGAACATGATAATTAATTTCTCGTTTTTTCATTGTTTAAAATTTATTTTTTATTGCTAACTTAGGATTATAATATGGTCATAGGCGTGCCATAGTGACATGATCAATGACATGCAAATTGCCTGCCTCAAATCAGTTAGGTATACCTCTTTAGGAAAGCCGCAGAAAAAGCAATCGGCATGACTTTATACATGTGACCGAAACGAAACCTAGTTTTGGGGGTCGTCATTGAACCTAGCTGCCGCGGATGATCCTCGATTTTGATTGGCTAAAAGCGACGATCAAAAATTTTGGCCGGAATTTCTCAGAATTTTACTAATGGAATCAGGGCTAATTTTAACATAGCGCGGGCCTATTTCTTTGAAAAAATATATTTTTAGAATGAAAAAAGTTAAAAAGTTAATTCCGGCCAGAATTGAGTAAACAATTATGTAATGCGGACCAAAATTTTGCAGATCTACG